TATAAAACCCTAGCCATGGTTACGCCGGTAGCTACATTATTGTTATTTATAAGATGCAACCATATTTTTTGGTGATTTGACATTTTAAATTTGTATATTTTTTAGATGGAAACGAACTACACATATGACGACTTCTTAGATTTACCTTTAGGATCGCTAAAGGATTACCTAAACATCAGAGGTGTTTCGGTCACCTGTAAAAAGATAGAGTTGGTTGCTAGAGCTTTTTCAGCCTATGAGTTTAAACTACCGATCAAGCTATCCGTTGAGCAGCAGATTGAAAGCATAAAGAGCGAATACCAGAGTCGACCAACAAAATRCACCATCAAGGATCCCAGCGCCAGTGATATCCAATGGCTAGATGACATGAACAAATGGCCATCAGTTGACCTTGGTAAAATCTTTTCTTTTATTCTATTACACTAAGAGTTCAATGCCACATACATAGGAAAATACAAAGATGAAAAGGCCTTCTCATACTGGAAAAGCAACTTTGTTGACACTGTGTATTATTTGAAGAATAATGATGATATATGTGTCCTCAAGAGCAAAGTCACTCCATCTCAGAGGATAAGACAAGATCCTCATGAAGCTTGGGTTGCGGTAAAAAGTRATGGAGCTATTGTGTGTGGCTGGTGTACTTGTATAGCAGGCACAAGTGCAACATGTAACCACATGATTGCTTTGCTATACAAAGTCAACCATGCAGTTCAGTGTGGCTACAACAATCCTGCATGTACCTCAGTTCCATGCGGTTGGAATCAGTCAACTTGCAAAGATGTTGAGCCTTGTAAAATCATGGACTTGAACTTGAGAAGAGACAAGGCTTCAAAACCCCAGCCTGGAGATTCTGAAGGAATCATAAGCAGAGCATGGAAGAATTTTGATCTAAGGAAGGAAGGCCAACGAGACATCAGTGAAGASAAGAAGAAAGGATTYGTAGATGGCCTTAAAAATGTAGCCCCAAATGCGCAGATTTTTAAAAGTGTGGAATCAGATCGCCACAGTCAACCAAAGAGGAATTTGTGCATGTCCAATCTTGTCAAGGATTATTGTAATGGCATTCAAGTAGAAATAAGTGACCAAGACAAGATGTCAGGCTTTATGGAGAGCTTATCATTGACTGATGAGGATGTTTCTCAAATTGAAAGAGAAACAAAAGGACAGTCATCCTCTTACCTGTGGAAAGAACACAGAATGGGGAGGATAACTGCTTCCAACATGAAAGATGTATGCACTAAAGTAGATGCACTTACAAGAAATAGAGGAGATGTGAAGCCCAAAACAACTCCTTTATTGTCCAAACTTGTTCATGGTTCAGAGAATCTGGACCATGTTCCTGCTATTAGATGGGGCAAGGACAATGAAGATACAGCAATGCGAGAACTTCATGCTGTTGGTCTTGCAAACCACACAAATTGCAAACTGTCAAAAACTGGCTTATATGTTGTTAAAGATAAACCATACATTGGTGCAAGCCCAGATGGATTTATATCATGTTCATGTTGTGGTCAAGCTGTGCTTGAGATCAAGAGTCCTTATAGTATAYGTGAATCCACTCTTATGGAAAGTTGGAGTGACACCGACTTTTTGGAGTATTCAAATGATAAAATTCAATTGAAAAGAGAGCATAAGTACTATTATCAGGTAACTGGACAAATGGCTGTCACTGGTGTCCACAAGTGCTACTTCCTTGTCTGGACCCCCAAAGAGTTGCATGTTGAGGCAATTGAATTTGATCCTGACTTTTGGCAGAGAGCTTTGCTAAAACTTGATGTATTCTTTAAATCATACATGCTGAAAGTTTTACTAGGATTGAGGACAATTTACTTTTGTCCAATCTGTGAGAAACTTATTGTAGAGGGCGAGGAACTACCTGAATCCTCACCTGAAAATAGTGTCTGCTGTGACCACTGCTCAGCCTGGTATCACTTCAAATGTATTCAGGTCATGAACATTGAACCAGATGAAGAATGGATTTGCAGTGCATGCTTACAGGATATGATGGCTGGATGGATAACTGATAAGTATATATTACTGAAGATGTCCAAACTGTTGTATAAATAAATCATATTTATTTTTAATATTTAAAATTTTCAAAGTTAGAGAACTTGGATTTTTAATAATAGTTGTTATTGTACAT